ACATTTCTCAATTCTTTCTTTTGCACAGCTCAAGCTATTAGATTTTGTTTTCAAAGACAAGAAATTTAAGGACATGCCATGTGATGATTTAACATTTAATCTTAAAAAATAGATTTTCATGTTTCGGTATACAATACAATACAATAGAGTAAATCAACATTAAAGCACCACTTGCCCCTCACCGCTGTGGGTTCGAATCCCGACAGGGACTTTGGATTCTTTCATGTGAGGAAGCTATCCAGCTAGCTTACGGAACGTCGGTGGTTCTACTCAGGTGCCCGTTCGTGCCTGAAATAATACACGAAAGGGCACCTGAGGTCTTGCTCCACCAGTAAAGCTGGAACGTCGCAATATGACCTATACTGTGTCGATGTGTGGTAAAACACAAACAAACAACAGATAAGCTTTACAAATAAACTATTCTTAGCTTTTGGAACTTTAACAAATTTTAACATACACTTTAAAGCTTAAATAACAGAATTGTTCTCCAAACATTAGATCTTTAGGCTCCTTTTCTGCCATCTGAAGTCCACTGAGAAATTTAAATGTTTTCACAAAACTTAGGTTATGTTGCTTTCTCTGCAAATCGCACGTATTCTTTTAAAGATAATATTTTTACATTAATTAAAAAAATAAAAAATGTCACAAAACAACAATTTTTCACCAAAATAAGGTGTAAGGGCACATGTTAACAAGGAAAACTAGTTTTTTGACTTACATCATTTTTTAACCTTTTTCCGCATATAGACGTATTTTGACGGCTTTTTACCCCCCCCTTTTTTTTGAGGCATCAAACAGTGAAAATATGCCCTATTTAGGCCCCAAACACTGTTTTTCGTTTGTGAAATGTTGTTTAAAAAAGTGACCACTTTTTTGGCGCCGCCCCCATCAAAATGATACATGGGGGTTTGAAGGGGGCGGCAGTCCCCCTAGTCGCAAAGAAATTTTTGGACATTTTCTGGCTTAAAATGGCCTCAGGTCGATCTCAGGGTAACTTGACGCTGACAAGCCTTTTACTCTCACTCAATTAATCGAGAAGTTGCAGCACTTTGAAATCAGTTTTGATGGGGAAAAAAACAATGCAAAATAGTGAATTTTGAGACGTCCCCCCGTTGGCATGGTAACAGGAAATTTACAATTGAGCATGCTGTTACAGAGGCTATGTTCCAGTCAACATTTGTGCCAAGTTACATCAGTATTGAAGCATTTTTCATAGTTTCATAGCAGTTTGAGCTTGTAACAGGAGTCTTTTCAATGAAAACGGCCATTTCCACACTATCCTTATGGGGTAAAAGGCTAATTGATATTTCTGTCTTTTCTTATTTGTTGTTGTGTTAATTACGCTTCCATAGAAAACATTTGTTTTCTTAAAATCACCACATTAAACATGCTCACATTATACTTGAAGTTAAAAATCCCCTTTTGGAAACAACGTAATCTCTACATTTTCTTTAGATTGATATATTTGACATGTCATTGAATTATTCTAGTCCACTGTTATCTAGATTTCATAGTTTTTTATTACTCGGTTCCTCGGTGTTTTATCCCACCTTGAATACAATTAAAGAATAGCGTCTATTTCGCTAAACACCGCATATGTTCTGGCAAATCGAATTGTAGGGGCATCATAATGCGGTGTTATAAGTGAAGTTTATATCTGAATTTTATCATCACTTGCAGAACATGAAAATTTATTTGTGCTCTTTAATACCGTTTTAATTTTTAGATAAAAGTGAAAATTTTACGATTGAAGTCTTTTTTGTGTCCCAGTTTAACATAACATGAGCAGCTGTTGTTTCATATTATATACTAAGTTTAGACTAAATGCAAAAGAACAAATGCATTTGGACTGTCGACATAACAGTGCAGTGCAAATTCCTTAGGATTTTTATATTTAATGTCAGAAAATTATTTTAACTTTTACTTTATCACAACGAATAGAAATGAAAAAAAAAACATTTATCTAAATGAAACTGATTTCTAACCATTAAAACACTTTCAAATAACTTCTTAATGCAATTTAATTCAATAAGCTCATCGTTTTGTGACACCAGACGTGTCCATTGCAAGTGAAAAGAAAAAAAAATGACTCCGAATGAATTTGTTTGTCACCAAATTACTTTAAAGTAATACATTGTCTTGTTTTTGTGGGTGTATTAGATTTAATTTAAGAGAAAACTTATTCTATTTCTTATAATATATTTTGATTTGAGTTAAGACAAAATTGAAAATGATATCGACTCAAAGCATTTGCATTATTTTATATTCTTTATATCTTCATTATTTCAATATGCATTTACAACTTTTCTTTACTCGTGAAACGCGCTTTAAATTCTTTCAATACGTATTTACATTATTCTGAAGTAAATTATTCTACTACAAGTTTACGGTTACGTAAAACCAATGGTTTATATTTGACAGAACTAGGCATGAGATGTTTTATCAATTATACATGAAAATTGTCACATTCTTGAGAAAACATACTTTCCTAGATAAGCGGGAAATGAGATTAAGTATTTCCATTGAAGTAGTGTTACAATTAATTAAGTTTAAAGTGAAGGACTTTCTTAGGTGTTTGTGTGGGTGTGATGTTAATTTGCCAGATTATCTTCTGAAGATAAAAATGGAAATTGGAAATGACGTTCAGTCTCTGTTTTAGCATTTTTAGTGTTTGTCCTAGATTTGTAAACAACTTTCCGATGTTGTAGTAGAGACACTTCATTTAAACATTAAATTTTGTAGCATTTCACCGAAATAAAAATAAAAATCTTCTGCAGTTGCAATTTGTGTCACAGAAATGTATGCAATTTTGCAAGTTTGTTACAGACAGAGTAGTCAATTAATGAAGCATAAACATAGGGGAGCGTTGTTTACTAAATGCAGCATTAGCTACAAAGGACCGCATGTAAGGCACTCAAAGGGACAAGCACCGAAGACAATCAGGGTATGACACCAAAGCGCTGCCGAGAGGGGCGCACCGGCTGGCTTATATTAATAATGTCTCTTATATGCAGTCTTCACCACCTATGGTCCCCTCTTACTTATATTTTTGACTTCAGTTGTGTATGCTCTACCAGGATTCATACGTCAGTGTGAACACACAGGCGAATGTCCCTTAATTACACTTTTTGTCACATTCATATGTTGATTTTTGCTAAAGTTGTAGATGTTAGCTTGCATTTATCATTATAGTTGGCGAGGAGGCTCATTGAGGCCGATTCGGCAACATACTAGATACTGCAGTGTTTATTGACGTTAGTTCCAATTTTAACTATTTTATTTTAATATTTCTTAAGACTATTGTAGGTAGCAGTGACTAAGCCTCATTTAAAATTGAACCGCTTAAACTATTCTATAACTATCACTTTGTTTTTATTGCTTTAAAGGAGCTTAACTTTCAAAATATTGTTATATTGTTTAATATTGTTTTAAATTAAAATGATATCATTAGACGAACTGTAAACTGTTTTTCTATAGATCAATACATCACCATTTACATTAGGTAAATTTGGGTTTGCTTGTAAAGGAATTTCGGGCTGTTTGTTTCCATGTAATTTGATAGAAAACAACCTTCCTTTATATAGTGGAAAAAAAGCAATTTCCAGTTCTCAAAGTCTCCTGTGAGTAAATAACCATTTACTTGTGAAATAGATACCATTAATGGCACTGTCTGAAACCACAATGAAGCTTTATAATTAAAGTTATGCAGTTAGATAGCGTAACTGTATTTCAAAACAAACATATCATTTTTCAAGTTGTTGGAATGAAATTACAATATGAAGCGATAATAACGTCTTTATGTACTAAATGTACATATTTTCATGTTCAATAATGGAAAGATAACGGGAATTGCGCTGTTGTTTAAGGATTTTATAGGCTTAACAAAGAAATTTTAACACTGACAAAGAACAAAGAAAACAATCATCTTATTTAAAAACCTGTTACACATAACTGTCATTTATCATCCCATTGTATTTGATAGTGTGATTCATCAGATACCAGCCCAACTTTTGCAACTCCGTAAAATAGTATTGCACTGCCGTCACTTGCGTACAAATATACAGTAGCGATAAGTCGCGCTATATGTAAGCGTTATATTATAGGTGCTTCAATGAATCAATATGTTTTAATGGAAAAAAATTGAAATGATATAAATAAGTAAAACATGGTAAATATTTAAAATATTTTCAGGAATCATAGTCAGCCAACAAACAAAACTCAGTTATCATAGTAATGCATTATTTAATAATGATATACTAAGTCTTCCGTTTGGTAATCTTTCTTTCTTTCTTTTTCTTTCTTTCTTTCATTCTTTCTTTCTTTCTTCCTTTCATTTATCTAATGAAACGTTGAAAACACAACACATATTTAAGTTAGAGGACCATTGTACTCTGTGAAATATGGATAAATAATTAAAGTTTTGGTCACGATTAATCAATAACTAAACAAAGGTATCTTTATTATAACATATTTTCGGTCGTGTTTTATTTGGTAAAGTGTGTGTGTTTAATTTTGTATAATCTTTTATCAATGCATAGTCTACACATATATTACACACGGATTACTTTTTTACTCTTTTACTGGGAGAATGATACCTTTTGACCCTTAAATATACCGATAATGAAGGTGGAAACAGATATCTTACCGTCGAAAAAAACTTTCGATTACTCGGTAAACAATATAAAGTTTTGCAAGCACAAGCAATTAGAAATTATAGCAGGCCAATAGTAACTTTACACTCTCATAATTTCAAAACTAATCTCACATTACTTTGTGCAGTAGGAGATAAATTAGTGAATAAAATAAAACAAACAATAAATCGACTTTCTATATTTATTACTTTGCTTTATTCAGTCACATGATTTGCATGCCTACAAAAAACGTTATATCGGTTCTTTGGAAACTATTTCGTCTATAAAGAGCAAATTGCGGCATTTGTAGTTTTTATCGGTGAAAATGAGACATTCTTCGCCTCTTAAATGACTCTTTTAAACTGTAATCAGTGCAATATTGTGAAGGTAATCAACCAATTACTGCCATATTTAACACAGAATAAAGTTAATTAAGTACGTTGGATCCCCAGGTTTAACTTTTAAATATTTCTTCTTAACAGCATGCTTCCGAGGGATCACTTTCCAGATTTTTATTCTTCACAATAACAGGTGTCAAGTGTTGTGTGGCAGCTGTATAAAGTTGCCCCGTACTTCACTTCAGTGTTGTTATATTTTCTGGTCCTTCGGGATCATTGATACCAACACTATTAAGTGTTGAGAATTGGATACCGCTCTTGAATACCTCTCAAGCCGATGCTAGGGTGCTTGAGGGCTATTGATTTATTCATTATCGCTCATGTACGGACTCAATCAAAACGAGTCTGCAATTTTCATGTAATTTTGTTGTGATTAATGCTTCTGAGTGATCACTTTGATTCCAGATTTGTAATATAGTATTTTTCAAGTGAGCAATTAAAGGTACCTTATGCCTCAGAAATAAATAATTTTCTTATTCCATAGAAAGGGATATTGTGTGCTTTATAAAGTTGTCAGAACTGATTAAGGTTATAGATGAGATACTTATCACCTGAAGAAAAAAGGACTGAATGTTAAATATTTTTTCATTAAGGTAGCAAACTGTAAAGAAAATGTGTTACTATGACTTCCATACAAAATACTAAACAGAAAACAAAAGATTATCATTTCACCCACACAAACACGACAATCTTTTTTGTACTAGTTTTGCGTCAATCAAATTGATTCGAAGACATTTAGGTAGGTAAAGGACAAAGGAAAACAGTCGTAAACAAAGTCATATAAAATCAAATTAGTTTCTCTTGCATTTTTAGCCTAAGAATAGAAAAGAATGTTTACAAGGATACTTTTACTACATCTGCACTATTCATTATTTCTTAGGTGCAAACTTTGTTTTGGTTTGCAATTTTGAACCAAAGCTCCTAATGAAGGTCTTACACATAGTTTGATATCATGTAAGATAACATTATTTGAACTCATACCAAAATGATGTGTAGTTGAGTAGTTTATTCTAAGCTCAATGACTTAAAACCAATACTGTTGTCACTCTCTTCAAAATTGCTATGTTCAATAATGTTTGTTGATCACCCAAACATTGATGAACTGATGTAAACCTATATATTTTGATAAAAAAAACTTTATTTTATCTGAGTATCGAGTGATATCTAAAAATTCGTCATATTGTAACAAGGAAAATATGTTTTATCATATATTTAATATGGCCATTTAAAGTATAAACATAAACCACTCTGTATCTTAAAGTGATGTAAAAAATGAGAATAATACATTTCACCTATAGTCTTACATACATATTGTAATGAGATTCTAGGACTAAATCAGATAAACGATCATTCAAACGAGATATACATGTATACATCAAAATCCAGTGCCATATTTGAGAAAGAAAAGTAACTTTAACCGGGCCACAATGATTCAACAACATGTAACAAATATCAATCTATACAGCTTATGAAATTAAAAAGGTTATGTTGCGATACAGACTGTTTTACTACAAAAATAATATGAACACACCTGTGATTCTTGTAACTTCAAGCAAACAAATGTTGCTATAAACTGCTAACAAGAAGCATCTTTAAAAAAGATACTTGGTTGAAGTAAACCAATATTTTGTTTGTTTGATTGGGTTTTACGTCACACCGACACAGTATAGGTCATTTGGCGACGTTTCAGCTTAACTGGTGGAGGATGACCTCAGGTTCCCTTCCTTGCATTTTTTCAGGCATGATCGGGAACCTGAGTAGAACTACCGACGTTCCGTAAGCTAGCTGGATATCTTCCTCACATGAAAGAATCCAAAGTCCCCGTCGGGATTCGAACCCACAGCGGAGAGGGGCAAGTGGTGGTTTGAAGTCAACGATATAAACCACTCGTCCACGGACAACCCAAACCAACCTTTACTTATTACTGATTTTATAGTTCTGTATACATTGTGCATAAAGAAATGTCAGCTAAACGTTTGCTTGATAATGTTCTCAGTTGCTGAAGGAATTTTAACAAACTTAGTATTGAATTATATAACATAATCTCAACAGATTTCTAAATAATAATGGTACGGTCAGAAGATCTTATGGTCTTTACCGCTTTAAGATTGTTCTACAAATTACTAAAAAACGCTTTAGCCTATAGTTATAAGATAATGTGTCAAGGATGGTCATGACCAGTGGATGGTTTTAGCAAATGATTATCAAATGCTAATGATTACAAATATGAGGTATCGAATTATGCCTTAAGATTTCTGAAAACGAATTTAATTTCCCGTGTGTTCCCATCTTAAAACAATAGTAGAAATAGCTGTCTCATTCCAAAAGAATCAGAAGGGTCATTTAAACATCTCTATTTATGCACGAGAGAATGAATCATTCATCTTGTTTGTATCCTAATCTTTCTTTATTGTGTCTCTCTTTTCACGAGAAAAGTCACCCAGAGTTTCATATTGTGTCTTGCTTGAGTCGTCCCGAAACTTGTCCTTGTATGTCCTGGTCGTTTGTTGTGTACGCCACATCGGCATAGTTTCTAGAGAAAAGAGTAAAATATGCTTTTAATAAATTTACCATCAACAATACTATGCACATACCATAAACTTAACGTAGAGGTTCTTAGATACCTTCTTTAACGTCAATGCTAGATTTAACTATTAGTTATAGAGAATTTAAACATGTTATTACCCCTATATAAACGCTTGTTTATATATAACGCTTTTGATTATATTGCAAATAACCGTTTATAAAGGTCACATAACATGTCAAGAATCTTGAAAACAATTTATGATACTATAAACTTTCTTTACTTGGAAACGAAATAAAATGACCTTTTAAATCGATTTCTGTCATACTCGTATATATTGATTATATAAACGTTGATATTATTCTATATAAACCGACGGTACAAACGCCCAGTATTATTAAGATTGAAATAAAACCATCACATTCATTTTATCAGTTCTGTATAACCAGGTATTTGTCATAGACGGAAATTATTACGAAATACAGAATTTTATCATTTACGTTTTAAATTAAGGCAGTGTTTTTTTTTCTAGAAATAATGCAATAGTTTATTAATGAGGATATCGATACATTAACATCTATATAATGTGTATACGTACTGTTGTCGAGTTGAGCCGACCACCCTGTCTTTGTCTGAAATTACATTAAACCAAACTTTCAGAAAGTTCATCTTATGTGTTATTGTTATTTTGCCTGTACATACCAATTCACCAATTCTATATAACCTTACAATGTCATAATTGTAAATATATTATAATGCATAAAATATTCCTTCCAAGCATGTTACTATTAATGTGTAATGTAACAGATAATGAACATGTGCACCTGTCTTAGTAACTGTTGTTCTTCTTTCCTTATTGATTGAGACATTTCGTCTCCATAAAATTGTAATTGATGCAGCATAAGTTGTAACAATAAAAGTGAGGACTCCACAGACTATAGCAATCGCCACTATACTACCACAAATACATTCTTCTTGGCTGACTTCCGACCAAATATTATGTAAATCTAAAAAGTTAAAAACAAAACGATTATTCATCTTTGGATTAAAGATAACATTGTTAACGAACTTTAATATATTTGAAAAATTCTGACATTTCTGAGAAAATAATATATAAAAAGATAACAACAAAATCTGTCTGTAATAAAGAAAAAAACATAACGTAGCATGTTAAACATATTTCTAACAAAACTTTCTAAGTCTAACAAATATACAAAACAAATGAATGTATAAAACTTATAAATTCATAGACATTTTCAAACACTTACCTTGTCACACAAGGAAAATATATTGGTTATAAGAACAAATGCTGTTCTCGACAGACACACGGTCTGACATTGATTTTCACCCAAAACAAAGAGTAGAGAAACTCTGAATATTACTCGTACCTTTTATATTGACACTGACAATAACATCAGCAGATATGGAATACGAGGGAGCGGTGTTTTCAGCTTTGCATTGGTAATCTCCTGTCATATACTTGTCGACTGATTCAATATATAATGTTTCATCGGTAGAATTTATTACTTCGCCACTTGTAACATTTGTCCATGTATAGGTACACCCAGGATTACAGTCCGCTGTACATTTTATTGACATTATTTCTCCTTCTGTTAAAACATATGGTGATGTTACGTTAACACTGACCAAATCTGGACCATCTGGTTTTATGAAATGTTCAATCAAAGACCATAAAGTTATGCAAGAATATCGAAAAGGATAAGCAATACATAAAAATATAAATACATCTAATGTATTCTTTAAAAAACACTTTATTTATTCACGCTACGCTTGCAAGTAGGTGAATGGGTTATTCTTAGAGGTTTATAAAAAAAAATTAAAAACTTACAATGCACGTCAAATGAAAATAGTTCACTGCAGTTTGATGTGTATCCATCAGTGACATCTTCTGTAGCTAAACATGTAAACTTTTTATTTGCATCTCCCTTCAAAATGTTTGATACAATTAGTTTATCCTTACTAGGCGTGTATGAGTATTTCGCACCAGCTGGGTTATCTATGTTGTTAACTCTCCAAAAGTATTTCAAACTGAGGCTGTGGTTGCTGGGTATAGTAGTTGATGTGCTACTACATGTTAATGTTGCACTTTCTCCTACATATGGTGTTTTATTCCCTGTCAGTATTGGCCTCCTGGGGATACCTGAAAGTCATATAGTTTTAATATTATAGTTTTCAAAACTATTATTACAACCTCTGACAACTGAATCAGAGAATTTATTCTTTTGCTCTGATGTCTATAGCTTTACTTTTAAACGGACAGGTCCTCACGATTTCGTATCTCAGCAAAGCTAGGATCTTTTCTGATGTATTTAAAACTTCATGCTGTGAACTAAAAATGTTCCTTAGTTAAAAGGAATGCCTGGTTCCTAAAACTTGTTTGAAAATCGAAATTGTTTGAGAATTGAAAATAAGTATTTCCGTCATCATGAATGATGACTTGCAGAAGAGGGGTTGTTACCTGTTTTTCGTCATCATAAATGATGACTTGCTGAAGAGGGGTTGTTACCTTTTTCGTCTTCATCAATGATGACTTTCAGAAGCGGTATATGTTTTCTTTGACTACCAACTTTTATACCTAGAAGTAACCCTTTTGGCAACTGTTTCAGGAATTCAATTAGTTTTCCCTTTTAAGCGAATTGGTGTGAGTTTGAATCGTCTATCTGTTACGAACTTAGCTTCTAAGTAATAAGTATTTAGTTTACTTAATTAAAAAGGATGTTCGCGACTGTATGTCTGTGTATATAAAAAGATAATCAGCTAATTGCACTTTTATACATATTTGAAATGCCAAAAGACTCCGTCTGAATTACATCCAATTTTGTCATATTTCGAATTATCTGACGTTTATAGATATTTCAGGTTTATTTTTAGTTTGAGTTTTTTACTGTAGAAAGATTCATTTCAAAAATGCCTTACATCTTATACCTACCTAACATATATAAACAGTTGCATTTTGAAGAAATTCCTGCTCTTGTAAATATATAAACGCCTGTATCATTGTGTTGAATATTAGGGAGTGTAACAACTACATTACCATCTGTATCACCAGTTATATTGAAACCTGGTAATACTTCAGTTCTGGGACTCCTGTCTTGATAGTATATTATTCTAGCTTTAATACTACCGTCAAAAAACTTGACGTCAAACATTCTTGGTGAATTCAGATTTGTAAGGTCAGCAGTGAATTGAAGAACAGCATCAGTGTTGACACGACTGTATAATTTTCTGACTGGTAATAAACATGTCCATGCTTTAACTGAAACAATAAAAAGTTATATGCATGTATTTGCATACATAAAATAATTTCCTTAATTCAGTTAATATACAATTATTCTATTGTTTTTATGCGACATTATGCACGTATTTTCATAGTCAAGTTGAGCTGAATTGACCTTTAAATTTCAAAAGATTGACTGTCAAAATGGTGTTTGACCAACAGTTGATGTTGGAAAATGTTTAGGATAAAATTATAAATCTGCCTGAAATTTAAAAAGACTGCCCCACTCTTTTTTATAAACTAAGCGTAAGATGTAAATTCTAACGGGCATTTGATTCGGATCTGTGTGTTATTTATTGTTTATGCGAACATAATTATTTAATTAAAAAGGATTATGGTAAAATGAAAACATATTTTGATCTTCACCCGTTTACTCACTATATACCAATGGATGGGCATAATGTCACTTTAACATACTTTCTTTTTACCGAAGACAACCTATTATAAAAAAGCATCAAAGATGAGCTTCTGGGGGGAAAAAAGGATCAAAGCTATATTTTAGCATTTAAATGTTAAAAATGTGTACCTATGACTTGAATATATTTACAATCAAAATTGCAAACTTGCATAAATAGATGTTCTGAAAAATATTTTACAATCAGATATTAATATATATATATAACTTATTTTAATTATAAAAAATTGTGAAAAAAAAAATTGCAAAAATATATTATAGCTGAGGTAACTATGATATAAGATAGGATCATTTGAAATCCCGACAAAATTAAAATGTTTTTAAAACAATATCGCAGTTTTAGAGTAAACTCAGCTTATGTTGCTGTTTATACATGCATATCCTTTTCATATCAAGAAGCTGACACGTTTGTGTATACAATTCAAGAGGAGCACACAAATTTTTCAATGTTTATGAATGACATAAATTTTTTGTTGTTGTTGGTTTTTGCCGGGTGGAGTACTTGTGCGAGTGTAGTATACCATGTACATGTAGTTTTTCTCTGTAAACAATGTCAAAAGAAAGGTAACATGCTTCTCTGTCTGTGAGATAAAAAAAATGTCATTTAATCAATATTTTTGCCGATCATTACCCATTTGATAAACACGATCAACATACAAACCCGTATATCGGAACTATTATTATACAATTAAGGAACTAAGGAACAACACTGTTACTTTATAAACGCCGAGTGTAACTAACAAAAGAATGTACGACAAAAGAATGCTCTTCAGAAAAAAGATACTTTTTTCCTTTGAACAACTAACATAGGTTTTAAAGGAACATCAAATTTGTTCTATCAATGCATAAAATTGGCTCAACGTGTAGAATATGTGAAAATTTGTATATTTAAACTTTCGACGTTTGAAGATTATGAAGGTTTTCTTTAATTGGGAAATTTGTTGCATCCAATGACAAAGATGTTTCATAAAGTAGAGAAAAAAGGATCCCTAAAGAAAGCCCAAAACGACACAATTGAAAATGTTGCAGGCTCGGTTTGATTGAGCCTGTTCATGGGCGGTACTGTAAAGTGCAAACTACCGTCCACGCCCCCTAGCACCGGCTTAAGCAGAATTCAACATTTAAACATGAAATAGCAAAATTTTGAATTAAGAAACATCCGCAGATGTGTTCATACGGCGGTTACCATGGAACCTTCAATGTGACACTTTTGTGCCATTCCATGAAAAGCGTCGTATGGTCCCCGAGTAATAGAAAGCGTGTGCCCTAAACGAGAAAACAATGAAGGCTTCGTTTTCAAGTACGAGTAGTATATTGATGAAGGTAACATTATTATATATATTTATATATTACATCTTTTACTCATCGTTCATGGAGGTATTGCATTTTTTTAAATAGCGATATGCACAATACTTACAATTTAAATATTCTTTATTAATTTTAAAGGTTTTGTTTATATATGTTTGCTAATTGTCCAAGGCAACAGTATTATTCACTGGTTAAAAATAGTTTGTAAACTTTAAACTGTATTCTATTTTATCTCAAAAATCATCAAAATACACAATGCAACAAAAGACATACCTGCTATAACCACACAAAATACAACAAAAATACTGAAATTCATTTCACTTTTCGTTTAACATTTACTACTTAAATGTGACAAGGAAGTTTTAATATTATGTTTAATTGTAAATGTGTATTAAAACACTAAACAAGTACTACTTTAAAAAAAGTGAACTATTGTCCAACAATATTGACCTGACACGCTTGCATTTGACCCTATAGTCGGTAAATTCCGTAAACGTTACGATCGACTTTTAATCAACATGAATGTATATTACCAGTTCTGAAATGGTCTAAATCATGAGTCCCTCTTAGCGCACGCTAACTTTGATAAGATACAGAGAATAATTAAGAGAAAGAGGGATACTGACGTCACAACAACGCCCTTCATGCCGCGGCAAGTAAAAACCAGTGGATAGCCAGTATAAACCAGTGGACAGCCAGTATAAACCAGTGGACAGCCAGTATAAACCAGTGGACAGCCAGTATAAATCAGTGGACAGCCTGTATAAACCTGTGGACAGCCAGCATAAACCAGTGGACAGCCAGTTTAAACCAATGGACAGCCAGTTTAAACCAGTGGACAGTCAGTATAAACCAGTGGACAGCCAGTATAAATCAGTGGACAGCCAGTATAAATCAGTGGACAGCCAGTATAAACCAGTGGACAGTCAGTTGAAACCAGTGGACAGCCAGTATAAACCAGTGGACAGCCAGTTTAAACCCGTGGACAGTCAGTATAAACCTGTGGACAGCCAGCCAGTATAAACCAGTGGATAGCCAGTATAAACCAGTGGACAGTTTCGACCTATAAGTGATAAGTAACAAGGTGCAATAATTTTTCGATGTTCGGCGCCAGTACCCAAAAGAAATCCTGTATCCTGAAAGTAGGGAACTTCTCAGGAGAACACGCATTATGGGCTACAGATGAAAGAAGACGGCTGACAGCAGAAAATTCTTACAGAAAAGTCTAATGTTATAGCACAGAGGATGGCTGTTTTATGAGAGGAAAAATAAAATACACTAAGAAGACAGAAGCTTTCATTATAAATATGTTGATGAATAGTGGTTAGACACCTCCTACCCATGCAAGACATGCAAGAAATAGATTTGTACCAGGAACCAGACTCCTATACAAAGCATCTGCATTTCCGGCGACTGCTACTCCGAGATGAACGGTGAGATCTTTTAAAAGTGATTACGGGATATTTTTTATCAAACCTTCTTTCACACTGTGCTATCGTGATTGATAATGCCAGCTATCACTCGGTTCACTCTGACAGATGCCACCACAGTTCTCTTTGGGAAATTTCATTAAGGTACATGTAGTTCAAAATTTTCATTTTCATTTTTTTATTTAATTTTTTTTTTTTTTTTTTTTTTTGGGGGGGGAGGGGGGGGGAGGTGATTATTGCTGTTTTGATTTCGGTTTGGGTAACTTGCACTTGACAGTACCGTCCATGAACAGGCTCAATCAAACCGAGCCTGCAACATTTTCAATTTTACCGTGTTGGGCTTTCTTTAGGGATTCTGTATTTATCTATATTATTTGGATTGAAAAAAGAATTTACTTAACAGTATCAATTATTTAAAATGACATTTTAGATTTAAAGAGTGTCACATTACCAATTGAAGTTTAAACAATAGTGATTTTAATAAGAAGTTAATAAATGAGAACGTTTTGTCGATATTAAATTCCGGGAGTTGCAACTTTGATGAAAAAACCGGAAGCCAGCCACTTACAAACCGGAAAAAAACATAAGTGAACTTATAATCTAATCAAAGGGTTGCAAGCTCTGTGGTATTTTCTGATCTTTTCAATCTAAATCGTACTGTATATGTGTATGTATTTTCCTGTATAAGTTTATTTTTATGTACCATTCTTTATCTGGCAAGGCACCAGACACAGGTGGCATTATCGGTGAAAGGACACCCCACCCCTATCTGCCCCTTGACCCCTACTACAACTCTGAAAAAAATAATTCAACGCTTTAAGGCTTACTATAAGGTACCAAATATAAAACCACCGATAAAATTATATATATAAAAAAATTCCACTATCCATTATATTTTTATAACTATAATTTTGATAGTGGGTTTTTTTCTATAATTTTATATGTGATTTTGTATTTGGTACCTTATAGTAAGCCTTAAAGTCTAGGATTTCTTTCAGGGTTGTACTAGGGGTCCAGGGGCAGATAGGGGTGGGGTGTCCAAACACCGATACTCCCACCTGTGGCACCAGAGTTTGATACATACGGAATTTTGCATAACTAGAGTTGCATCAAAAAATCATTTATGTTCATTTTTTATGACAGCCACACTTTATCCTTGCATATCATGGCTTCTTCCTGAATAAAGACACTTAAAAAAGAATTTAAAAAAAGTTGCCTCGCCTGGGATTTGAACTGCAGACCTCTTACGCACTATACGACCGCGTTACCCCTGCACCACGGATCGAGTAGTTACACAAACAATGCCTGAATAAAATCAAGTCATTCTAAATTTAGAACTTCCATTGCATTTCGGGTTTGTTATCCTTATTAATTTCGAGGTATTTTGTTTAGGATAAACAGTTGTTTAAAATTTAGCGAAAATCTTCTCGTCCAAACAGTCCGACATGTAGAGTCTATATATTCCACTACTCGGCAGTCAGATTTATTTGTGAACTATTCGGTAATCGACATCGCTAAAAATAGCATTTTCATTGATTAAAATCATATTCATCCGCGTAATTTGTGATTGTGCATTTATTGACAATTTTATAAGCCAACGCTACTTTTAAACTTTAAATGCGTTGTAATTTGTTGATACTTGTAACAAATGAAAAATATTTTTTTCTTTTAAATCGCTAGTTTTAAGCTGTTTTGAGAACTACTTGTTGTTAGGTTTGTCGTGGAACTTCTGTGTCAGAGATTGAATGCCAGCTTTGTATTTACTGATCTTCGATCAGAAAATGCAAAAATGAATTTAAAATACATATGTGTCTACACTACACCATCAAGAAAAGTTAACATTTTCACCTCAAGGCGAAAATCTATGCTTAAACCTGTCTATTATGTGCACCTAAGGCATTACAATAAGATCTGTTCAATTGTGTTTAATCATAATATGTTTGCGATCCTAAAGATAAATCACCTTGGCATCATTGTTTTTAACGCTACAACACTTAAAATATGTTGGCGTTGAGGAGGATAAATTGTTCTTGATTAATACCTGTCAGTATTTTATCTATTGTTTCAAAAATCTTAGAAAGAACTGTATATAATCAATTAGAAATTTTTTTAGTTAAGCAGGGACTTTTATATCAAATATAGAGTGGTTTTAGATGTAATTATTATACTGACTCCTGCCTAATCCATCTCACTGATCATGTAAAAAGTCAAACTTCCAAAGGACTGCTTAACGTTATGATTATGTTAGATTTTCAAAAGGCGTTTGACACTGAGGACCATGACATCTTGTGTAGAAAGTTACAAAATATTGGTGTGGAGTCAGTAGAATGGTTTCAATCTTATTTAACTGGTCGTAGTCAAATTGTAATGTAAATAATACTATGTCTGAAGCTATGAATATTACATGTGGTGTTCCTCAGGGAAGTATATTAGGTCCTCTATTGTTTCTATGCTATGTCAATGATATGAATATTAGTATTAGCAAAAAATATAAGATTATTCTTTATGCAGATGATAGTGCAATTTTATATTCACATAAAGATCCAGATGTCATTTGTAATGTTTTGGGTAAGGGACTAGAAAATTGTGGTAAATGGCTTGTTGATTATAAGCTATCATTACATCTTTTTAAAAAGAGTGTATTGTTTTCAGTTCTAAGAGGAAATTATCAAAACTTGAGCATTTTAAAATACACTGTAACAATCACACCATACAATCTCAGCCATCAGTAAAGTATATCGGTTCAATCTTGGATAATGATCTCTCAGCCACTTCTATTGTTGATAATATAGTACAAAAAGTAAACTCTCGATTAAAATCTTTGTATAGACAAGGCAACAGTTTGAATATAGAGCTAAGAAAACTTTTATGTAACTCTTTAATACAGTGTCACTTTGACTGTGCCATCTTGTCTTGGTATAGTGGCCTTACTAAACAACTTAAACATAAACTTCAAATAACACAAAACAAAAGTGTTCGTTATATGCATGGTTATTCCTCTAGAAAATCATTGAAAATTATTGATTTTAGTAGTATTGGGTGGTTTAATATAGAAAATAGAGTCGTACAATTAAGACGCAATCACGTACATAAAATATATAATAAACAATGTCCATCTTTAGGACTTTTTTAACTTTAAAAAGAAAGAAAAAGCACAACTAAATGAAAACATGAAACAATTTGAACAAGCTGATTTTGTGATTGGGTTTGTTATATATTTAAATTGATATTTTTCATTGTTGTAATAACTAGTCATATTCATAGTATTATTCCTGTAACTTGTGATAAGTGTAATTAACATAATGTCACATTAATGTGCAATAGAAATTAATACTATTTAATCTTAGAATTATAACATCAGTCCATTATATCATCTATAAGAATGGACTTGAATGCCAGTTCTCAAGAAAATATATTTGTTTCTATCAAAGGACACCATTGAAAATAAGTTCTCTATTCAATATTGAACTTTCATGGGTTATCCTGTGTTGTATATAATGTCTTAAAGTCAACTAGATCTTTGATTTAATTATGTATAAGTTTCAAGTTTCAAGTTTTATTTACATTTTCTCTGTTTGCATACATACAAATACAAGAGATAATACATGCTAATTACTTTATATACAATTAGTCACATGCAAAAAAATAAAAAAAAGTTATTATTATTTTTCAATTAATTATTGTGTTACAAATAATGTGATAGATAAATCTGTGAAAAATTGTCTATAATGTATTTAATATGACATACAATTCTTTAACTATTTTTAACCTTTCATTAATATAAATTCTTTTAAACACGTTTACCTAAATTGGTTCCAATAAATGTATCGTCTCATTTTATTCTGCTGAGACAGATCGAATTTCACTTATTATAGCTTTTTAAAAACAGTTAAAACATGCTGCCATCGTAATATATTGTATGCAAGTATATTTGTTCTTGAAACTTTTACTTAGTTTGTATGTCATTTT